AATTGGGCAGCCGTTGAGAGGTTGGTTAATTCGCAGACGAATCTGCCGCGAAACCGGGGAACTGTAGGACGTGAACGAACCCAACGCGAAATTGGGGAGCTACAGGATAGTATGATTTCGTGGTCGAACCCAATTTAAATTTAGAGAACTACTAAGTTGGAAAAACCTTTTGTAACAGTCGCAATACTGTGTACTTCTCTGCGTTTTCCAAAAACTATTTCTTCTTTACGCCTCTATTTTTCCCTGTTTCGTAGCTTCTCTCTTCTTCTCGATTTCCTCTCTGACCATCTATATCTTGTCTCTTTCTCCAAGAGTGTTTTCTTCAACGAGGATCGATTGAGGCAAGGAAGTCAATCACGAACTACCAACACTGCGCTTTCTTACCGGTCCATACGCGAATCTCCGAAATATTTAACACTGAAACTACCATACGAGTAAAAATAACTCAATTCTGATTTCCTCTTTTTGCAATGATTAAAAAGATAACATATATTTCTCTGAGAAATTATTAAAAAATCTCATTTAATAATGCGCAGACGGAATTATAAATCAATGAAAGTCTCAATAGATGCACTCTTAGAGTCTACACAAATCTTGACCAACGTAACTTCATGGGTGACTATACGATTCTGACCGACGTCACTTCATGAAGACTTCTACGTTTTTGAACCGACAAGGGTGAAAATGAACGTGTTTATATACCTTAAAAAAGGAGTAGGGATGCCTGTATGCAGTACTGGCAGAGTTACGTTGAGTAACATTCCAGATGCTCTATTTCCCAGTAAAATTCAGAGCGTAGCTTTGGTTACTTATATAAAGAGTTAGGGGAGATTATCTAGGACGTTTTCTGCCAGAGACTGAAGAGAGTCATATGGAAAATGTTCTTTATACGTAACGCTGTATAGTAATGCTCGCTTAAATTCCACAATTTCGGGTCACACCAGTGAAATATAACTGAGCAAAAAAAGACAGAAGGAAACTATTTTCTTCCAGGAATCGACTCTAGCATAGCCTCACAAAGGCAGAGAATCGATATATTGAGCGGAAACGGAATGGACGCAGTTCGGCCAGCATCGAGAGTCGAGACGCTGGACTTCAAAGTGATGCCGCACGGGTCAAATGTAAATATGCAATGGAGACAATTTTAATTGCAGTAATTTTAACCTTACCTTCTCAAATGTAATGCTACTGAATTTTCGAGATTGTTGTGATTAAAATAAGCCCAAACATGATGGAAATCGGACTAGTTTTACCGATTTAACGTCATTAACGAAATTAAAGGATCGTTTCCCCCAAATTGATAAAGCTAGACCGATTAACGTTGTGTTTGGACTTATTTTAATGAGAAAAATTTCGACATTGTATCGGTACTACGACTGAGAAGATAAGGTTAAAATTATTGCAATTGAAATTTTCTTTATTGCATGTTTATATTTAACGCGAGCGACGTCGCTTTAAAATCCCGCGCCTCGACCCACGATGCTTAACTGACTGTGTCTATCCCGTTCTGCTCATTGTATTCATTTTCTGTCCCTGTCTACTGAGATCACGTTACACTGAGCTCGAGATAATTAGTAGTGTTGGGAAGAGTGGGGATGGTGCTGTGGAATTTAGCGGAGCAGATTTTGTGGAATTTAAGCAAGCATCATTGTAAGTAAAAACAACAGCCCCAAAAGCTATACCTAGTAATTCCAAGTTTATCATTTATTAAATGTATACAACATATAAGTGAGCAGACACTTTTGTCAGTAACTGTATGTTGGTACTGATCGGGGTGAGTTCTCTCTGGAATTCTATAGAAACAGCTGGAGGGTACGCGAGTGCGATAACCGCAACCCACACGGTAGGTGTGAGCACATCGCGCAGTAATCTAGGACCACCCCCATGCCATCACATTGGTCGTACCTTTTACAGGTGGCGCAGAATAAAGGGAATCAAACACCCTTCTTGCCTGTGGCTTGGGGTGTCGAGGCAAGGACTCCCATGCCGGTTATTACACATAGCCTAGCGTCGTGTCATTTGCGAATGATTATCCCCCCATAGGATCGTGCATCGTATATGAGTCAAGTTATCTCACAGTTCTTCGTACTGGTAGACTACCTCAGATACCACCAAGATCGTCGTTTTCCACATGACACTTCAACGTAGCCCCCGAGGAAAGATAAAAGATATAGAGAGCGTTCCGTAAATCACACGCAGTACTTCACAAATCGATCCTAGCTAAGACGTTCGACAGAAATTACCGGGTACAGTAAAAACGAAAATTCTAATAATACATTTTCATTTCTTTCAAGTATATAAAATTCAATGCAAGTAGTATTTTGCGTATATCAAAAGCAAGAATTCATTAGTTTTCTGAAAATAAATCGCTTTCCTTCGTCATTATCTATATAAAAATAGTCTTTAGTAACAACGAAAATAATTTCAATGTTCAGATTAAGTAATACATCTTGTGTATTCTTACATGAATAATAGTTATTAACATTAATGTTATTTTTAAAAAAATCACTCTACATCGTATACATTACTGCTCGAAAAATATTCGATTATACGTAAACTCTAGTTTATCCTTTCCTTCCGATTGCGTACATTTATTTTTATAATAGCACAATTATCCACTCGTATCTTTTTCACTAAAAAGAAATCTAACTTCATTGTTCGTTGAACCGGTGGGCAAACATCTTTAAACGGTGTATGTTCACAATGTAACCATTAAACTATAGGTACAAACATACCATTAGTATATTCGAAGTTCTTTTTTTATCAAACATAACATGTTCTGATGTTTCATGAAACTTTACATACCAAATCAGATGCTTAAAACGTCCTTGTTAGAAAAAATGCTGTTTGCAAAATTACACATAAATTTGTACCAAAAGATATTAATTTACTGGAAAAATGAATACATTATATAAACAAATAGATTTTTTTAGAAACTATTTACATATATCAATTTATCTTCTAAAGATAAATAACTTTCCCGTTTCAATTTTTCGTTGATTTCAGCAATCAGTAGTACCTTCTACTCGATACGTACGTACAGTTCACCTCTTGCGAGCTGAGCGGCAATCTTAGGGTTAAGCAGGTAGGGCGCAAAAGGAGACGTCCAATCGCCGCGCTCGGCCCGGTTGTTAGTTTCGGCACGTTCCTTGTTATTGGCCGAATCGACCGATTCCCCTTGCCTCCCAATCCACTTAGCCATTACGATCACCGCTCAGCTCGGAAGAGGCGAACTGTATGTATGTATTAACCGACCTTACACTGAAAGTGTTAACAGTCTTATTGTATTTCTTATGCGACACTACAATTGTATCGCATAAAAATGGTTTTATTATATGGAGTTGAACACAAAACGATTACAAAACAATCACAAAATGGTTTAGGCAAAAGATTTTTATAAGAAGTACTTAAGTACATAAACATTTATATGTAGCTTGACGGATCTATTCAAACACAGATCGTTTCAGGCATACTGTATATTAATTGGTAATCTGTGTCTGAGTGGACAATCTACGCGCTAAATGCTTTTGTCTGAATGGAACCGTGCCATAAGCGATAATATAAGATAACGTTAAATGAGGATTTCATTGGAAAAAATCGGTTCTTGGTAATTCTTAAACTATGATTGGATTGAAACGTGATGACATTAGGAACTCAGAACTTTACATGCGTATTTTCATGTACTTATTATGATTATCAACAAAGTTATTAAATAATAGGTTTAATGGTTGAAACGAGAACACTCCCTCAAATCATTTGTTATACTAGAGGAAAACTTGAATTCAGGAATAATTTATATAAGGTGTATACAAAAATATGTTATTAATTATACTACGGCAATGGGAACATATTTCAAATAGTGTACAAATGTTTTATTGGTAAAACGACTCGAAGGTATGGTCATTGTAAATAATAATTAAGAATATTTTAATTGCAATGTTAACACAGTTCGTTGAGATATCCATATGGAGATTGTATAAATCAGACAGGTGATGATGTAAATACTAAGATGAAGATCAGTACGAATTTGTGGAACATTTTAATAATATTAGGTTGGGGAAAAAGAAATCCATTATTTTTACGTGAACACCGTTTTGTTCTATAATTTGTTGCCATTTTAAAGGTAGCTTCATAATGCCTTTCTCATAGATGCTTGGTTCCTATTGGCGAAAAACTCTAGTAATCGATTTTCACAATCTTCTCTTGATGCCAAGTTCTTGTCACTAAGGAAGTTTTGCAATACAAGAAAAACATGATAATCGCTTAGTGCCAGGTCCGGACTATATGGTGGATGCATCAAAACTTCCCAACCAAGTTCCCGGAGTTTCTGGCGAGTCACTATAGACATGTGTGGCCTGGCGTTGCCTTGTAGAACACAACACCCCTCCTGTTGCCCAATTCTGGCCATTTCTGGTCAATCGCTAGCTTCAAACGGTCCAGTTGTTGACAGTAGGCATCCGAATTTAGTGTCTGACTGTATGGAAGCAACTCATAATAAATGATTTTTTTCCAGTCCCACCAAATACACAGCAGAACCTTCCTCGCCGTTAGTCGTGGTTTGGCCACCGTTTGAGCTGCGTCACCGCGCTTTGACTACGATCATTTTCGCATGATATTGTCGTATCGGCACCATAAACATCATTCACAATTTCAACCGCCTGGCTTGCATTTTCGCCTTTATCAAAGAAAAACTGTAAAATGTACCGAATTTCCTCTTTGTTGACTTCCATTTTTAACACCCTGTAACTCACAACTGAATGGACCAAACAAAAAACAGCAAAAGAATTTTTTTAATGCGAAATGTCACCTTTGCAACGAGCATAAATCAGAAATTGTTTGATCGATACTTTACGAGATATCGATCACTACAACCATCTCATGAAAAAATAATGGATTACTTTTTCCCTAACAATATATACAGAAATATCGTGTTATATGAAAGTGAACAGTCCTAAGGGAAGGAAACGAAATAAACTTTTGTTTTTTCTTTAATGTTACAGCAAGATTGTCCGAATGGTTGCTTAACACCTGCAAAATTCGTCGATATGTACAAAATGTTCTTCCCATCTGGTAATGCGGAACAATTTTGTGATCACGTCTTCCGTACATTCGACATGGACAAAAACGGCTATATCGACTTTAAGGTAAGGCAAATTCTTAAAAATTATTTTCCATACACCGTTACATTGCGAATGCTATAATCGAATGCACTCTCTATCAAGAACCATTTGTAAAAGCAGACCACGTAACGAAATTTGCTTCACTAATAGATATATGTATGTCAATTTTTTTGATCGATTAAACAGGAATAGTAATAAATATCAATGTTTTTGATCGATTAAACAGGAATAGTAATAAATATCAATGTTTTTGATCGATTAAACAGGAATAGTAATAAATATCAATGTTTTTGATCGATTAAACAGGAATAGTAATAAATATCAATGTTTTTGATCGATTAAATAGGAATAGTAATAAATATCAGTGTTTATTGAATGTTTGTTCTCATTTTAATGTAAACTTTAATGAGCATAATGTATGTAAGTAAGCAGTGTTTGTTTTAGAACACGTTCATTGAAAATTTGTCTATTTATTAAGAAGATATGTAATATATTCTTGACTCCCAACACTCACTTTAACACATTGACTACCACAAAAAACATCTTCTACGAAATATATTACCAAAAACCTATTTGTTTGAATTCGCACCTTTCTTTATTGTACAAGCTACTTATTTGCTAAAATAATGACTCCAAATAATAAAAACTAAACAAAATAATTTTTACATACATAAAAATCTAATTAATGAGTATTTTAGTATTTTTCAAAATATTCGTGTATGAGTTTCAAGATCATACGGGAAGAGGGATCAGAGTGTCAAGAAAATTGTAACTTATATAAAAAACCGAAATATAGATTTCTGTTTACGATCATGCATCTTTGTTTAAAATTGTCTAACATTTTTCGAATATGTAAATTTCCCCTGGCACTCGAAGGGTTAATTTCTCAGGGTAAATGCCTCGAAAGATAAAAAAATATAAAAAGCAGAAATTTTAAATACGGAACGACTTATGCATAAAATATATGTGTAGTGTATTTAAAGCAGGTCTATGGCATTTGTAACAATATGGTGTAAGAAATATAGGTTACAACGATACTTTTTTTCTGTGCTTTTACGAAAATTTACATACATATGCGGAAGATTAAATTTATATAATTTTAAGTATAATTTTATATGTAATTTTTTATGTACCCTACTTTTTTGCTGCCTCACTTCTTCATATTTATCTTAATTCTACCAGTTTAAAATATTCAAAAAAATGATACCTAATTCCTGAAGAATCTATTGTTTTGTTTCAACTACAGACATCCGAAATAGTAGAGGCATATCTTATATATTTTCGAATTGCGCAGGCCAAACTTCGGTGAAATTTTTTCGTTTGTGAGTTACGACGCAAAGAATGAACAAGTTATGACACGCGGTAAACTAGTTTAGTCATATATCTGTTCTGAATTTAATACTTTACCGACCGGCTTGCTGGAATGAAAACACGTTGCTACCACCGGAGACGTATTAAAAAATTAGGACGATCCATAGTTTTCAACATTTTTCACAGTAACGGGGAGTTAGAAGGCCATAACGTAATTTAATAATAAGTTTTATTAACTAATAAGGTATATGCATATATATTTCCCCCTTTATTTTTACTATAGCATTTATTTTTTCCAACACAAGGTAAAATAACCAGTAGTTGACCAGGTGAGACAAATTTTCGGCGTGAATAATAGTAAACGCTTGCTTTTTTATTAAACAGAGACTATGCGTGAAAGTGGTGTTTGAACTTCTTGCATTATGTAACGAAGTGAACTGTTTTGAAATAGTTATACTGTCCAAATTTGATAGACATTTTTGAAAATTCAATACTTGCGTTAGAAGTTGATCATCCTTTAAAACGAGAGAACTAGTAATTGACCATATGTTAGTCAGCAGTTGATCACTTACAGGAAAATCAAAAACACTAAAGGTGATTACTTTAATATTGTTTATTTGCAACGATTATGAGAAATTACAAGTAAAAGGACAAATACAAATGAAAAGAAGTTAATTTCTTACCATGAATTATACACCGTTTCTTAACAACGTTAAAGAAATTACAGTACAGAGGCATACAACTAACGTCAATGAAATAAATTGTTAAATTTTACGATAAACAATTTAATTCAGGTAAAAGTGTTTCGGAATTAGGTCGGTAGATGCTGTAGCATATCTATCGCCCCTTGATTGAAAGATTATTACTTTTAAAAACTTTATTCTTTACGTTTTCCTGAAAAATGATCAACTACTGATACTATATCTTTGACTTTCGGATGATTTTGCAAAATTTCAACAATTTTTTGTTTTTAAATCTGCTACTGTAGCGGTAGGTGAGACGTTTTCAGTAAATACCAGACATTTTCAATAAGGTTCATGTGTGAAGAATATAAAAAAAATTTTATTGCTCGAACAATAAACTCGCGATTATAGAACATTATATATAACTATGAAAATATGTAATATATATTTACATCTTTAAGTTGTTAATAGAAATTAATATTAATTACATTTTGGCCTTTTACTTCCACGATTACTGCCAGAAAACTATGGGTGGTCTTCATTTTTTGATCACGGATTGTGCTTCGATTTATTATAGAGAAGAATAATTTCAAAATATTTGATACGTATGAAGAGCTTATAATACAATAATCAATATGGAACACTAACATAATTTATACAATATTTTATTCACTCCATAAGTACCAATTTCAAAAAATTTTCAAAAAATTGATCTCATAAACGTTGCTATTGAAAATCTGATTTTTCAGATCCCGGTGGGTAAAGTATTAAAATACTGCTTTGTCAAATTAGAAATGCCATCTATATGCATATGACCATGCGTCATATTGGGAACCGTAATACATATCAACTAGAATTGCAGTAACATATCAGATAATATGCTAATACAACACCTAAAAGTTTACTCTGATAATTCGACACGAAAATCTGTTTAAATAAGATGTAGAGGATGTGGCTGATTAAATACATTTATCCATCTTGTATCCATTTTTTGTAGTAACTAAGTGATCAAGGAAGGTTGAGCTGCATAGATGGCAAGTTAAAATTTGCGTTCATCTAATATTTTGAGGTATTAATGATTGATTAATAATTAGTTTACAATTTTGTAGAGAATATAAATAGCTCATACTCTACCTTAACATTCTCATTTCTTTGATTAACTTAATATTTTAAACTTTATTATATCGCATACATTTATCTTGTATTCAATTGATTAATCTGTATCTGAAATGTTTTCCTTAGAAATGATCAAATAAATAAATTTATTAATACGTATTATAAATTATAAGTCAATCAAAATCTTTATAAATGCACTTTGAAATTTGTAGGATAAAATGCAAACCATTGCAACATTGCAATTTAACTGCTCGGTAATTCTAGCATTGAACGACACTGTTTCAATAACTCTAACAATATAATTTACTAATTAATTTTTATTTTCTGAAATATTTTCATGTTTCGTAAATAAATGTCTACTAGAAAAACATTTTACAGACAAACGTTCTGTTAAAACGACGTTTCATTTAGTAAGACCGTCCATTGGGTATATATTTATTATTTCTACAGTTGTATAATTCGTGATCATCATTTCAAGTGTAAACTACCACAAAATTATGTTAAGTACGTTCCTCCACCTACTACCGTTAAATCTGAATGTACTGAAGAATTCAGAAACATTACAAGGCAATTTTTACATGGTAATCATAAAAAAAGTGTATGATATTTCGAGCATTGTTTATAAATACATAAACGAAAATCTGAGTTTATTAAAAAAATTATTTAATGTTTCTGTAACTCGAAAATAATAGTTAAATAGAATGAACGTTTGCATGAATTTTTTCTTATTTTAATATACTGAATTCATCGATAAAGTTACGACTGTATGTGCTGATGCACTTTGTACATGTAGTCAGAAATGGCCATAGGATTTTAAGTTGAAAACCGTAAATACAGAACTGACCTAAGTACACTATCTCGTCCTACTTCTGCAAGACTGAACCTACACAAAATTTCCCATTCAAATGGAAAGTCACTGGTCTCTCTTTTGAAATAATGTTAAAAATAGCGGCTCACGAGAAGGGGACACTGAATTGAACCATGATATGAATTTCACTACTGATCTCCGTACTGTAACTTCATATTTATGGAAATGCAATATAAACACTTTATTTCCATGTTTATTCAAATATATCAAAGCGAATTTAACCCTTTGCACTCGTATGCCATGTTGGAGATGACGAATTCTACCGCTATAAATTACTTTAATTCATTTCCCTGAAAATAAATACAGGTTTACACCCAACAACATTAAAAATAAATCAAGTGCAAACGATTAAAGCCCAAAATATCATAAGGTATTACAGAACTATGGTCTTACATATGAATTTTTATAAATTTAAAAAAATGGCAGTACTATTGTATTAATTGCGAAGGTTACGTTGCGACTAAACAAGTAGTCAATCTCAAAATTCCAGATCCGAATTCCACTCACGTCTAAAACGTTTTGTACACTAGTATATATGTCATTATAAAATATTATTATAAAATAACTCCTAATTTTACGAGAAAAAAGCTATAACATTTTTTAGTTTTTATATGTTTTAAAAGCTTGACACATGTATTTATTCATATTTCTGCCTTCATTAATGTTTCTGAACATCGATGGTCCTATTCTACTGTTTATGTCCTAAAATAATTTAATGTATATTAATACTTATGTGTACATTAATACGATGTGTTTAATGCATCGTAATTCTACGTAAACCATTATTATACGTCATTATAAAAACTGTATTCAAAAATAGACAGTTGAATGTAATAATCATTGGTAGATTTGAAGAAAAGTACACTTATAATTTGCTTATTTATAAAAACTGCGAAACCGAATACGTACTAAAATTTAGGTTAGTCGAGTATCAAATATTTCAAAGCTGAAACCAGCTCTGAAAATAAATATGGAATTAAAAGAACGACTGTCTCTAAAATTATCAAAAAATAATTCAGTTATTTAAAATCACATTTTCTATAGGA